TCTGAGGCCAATACTCAGCCATCTCTCCATCCCAAAGGAGAATAGGACAACTTGAATAACTATGGCCCCAAAAACTCTTTCACATCTGCATCAGGAGGACCAATACTCTTTGCTGACTCTCCAAAGAGATTCTCATTTTGAAGACAAGAACTCACAAATAGGCATAATGTAGCAATTAGGCACTGTGCAGAGGAAGCCAGATCCCACATGGTCAGCAAGGGTTTGAGTCCTGGCCTTGTTGGCTTCATGCTGGACACGCATGTGCACCCAAGATCCTGACAGGATGAGAATTGTAGTGGTTCAAGTCACAGACCCAGCAGCTTATAAAACATGCCAAGTGCTAGGGCATGCATGCCCAAAATCCCAAAAGGAAGGAGAAATGGACGAGGAGGTGTTGTGGCATAACCATCCTCCATGGTGGGTGCTTTCTCACTCTCTCTCTTTTTCTCTCTGTGCCTCTCTCTAGCAATCACATGCACCCTCTAGCAAATCAAAAATAAAATAAAAATAAAAATCTCATCAACATTCTGATGGAATTTTAATGAATATTACCTGATTTTAAAGTTCATTTGGAAAAGGAAATGTTCAAGAATGTAGCCTGCCACAGTTTCACAGATGCTGGTAGAAGGCACAAGACACATCTTCTAGCATTAAGAAAAACAATAAAGAACTCATATCACAAATGTGTCAACTTCTTACCTCTCTCCGTGACTTCATGTAAGGATCTTCCGGACGTGGTCCTGGGGGATTTACTCTGATTCCTACTTTCTTCAAAAAGTTTTTTGTGAATACATCGCAATCATAAATCTTGAATGTCTTATCATAGAAGACAACGTCTTTGCTGACATTGAAATCATACACAGTATAAAATTGATCCTCATCAGGAGGTGGGAGAGAAATTCGGTGACGCCGGATAAAAATCCCTATGGCATGAAGTAAATTTAAATTATTTCATCATGAGTCTAACAAGTAAGAAGTTATCTGCATCTCAATAGCAACCCTGAATGCTTTCCTGCAACAGTGAAGTGCAAAGGGCTCATTCTTTGAGGCAGCAAACTCTGAGGTGACTGGAGGGAGCTGATTTTTCTGAGGTCCAAAAGTTCTTTGACCAGCCTTACATTATATTAAGTTTGCTGAAGTGGTGTTAGGGAAGTATTTTAAGAAACCATAAAGTCTAGGGTGGGGTGGTAGATGAAGGAGGACTAAATATGCCAGGCACTGCCATCATGTCTTCCTAGAAAAAACAGGCTCACTTTCAGCCCCTAGCACTCAATGTGAACACACTAAACGAGGCATGAAGGCCCCGTAGTAGAGTGCTCACAAAATGTGCACTCCAGGTTTAAAGAAAACCTAAAAAGGTAATAAGTTTCAGTATGGCAGGTACCAGCACTGTGATGTACAGCTTCCATAAGCATGAATGACTTCAGGCTGCTTTGAAGCTTCATGGAATCTTCTTTCTTCTGCCAACCAACTCTCCCAGCTCCTCTGTAGCCTCTGCCCATCTCCAGCCAACCATCCCCATCAGGTGAGAGTCCTCAGAGGCTTCATAGGTCTAGCTAGTACTTGGGGCCAAAAGTTGTGAATCTCATGTTAAGTTCTACTTCTAATCCTATGATGGCCATTTGCTTCTCCTCTTGAAAATATGATCCCAGGACCCCTAAGTTAACCCCAAGTGGTGGTCAGTCACGGGAGGTAAGAGGGTTTCATGTGTAGATGAGAGTATCAACCACACCACACACACCATACCAGCCACGTTACCCAAATATCTCTGAAATCTATTGCCAAGAATTATTTAGGGTTTCAGATTTTATATTACTTGCAAGCAAACAATGTAGCCTGCCAGCTTCATGATGTTGGTAGAAAGCACAAGATAGGCTGGTAAGAAAGAAAGGTCAATTTCAACAGCAAGAACAATAGCCAGAACATGAGCATTTTTTGTGTCAGTTTCCTAAGTCTCAGTTCCTATAGGGTGAAACAACAAAGGCTGGGTAACACCTATAAATGTATGAGTTACATTTCAGGAGAGAAACTTTGAGCTTAAGAACCTAAATCTTTGGGACCAGCAGTTGCAATAATGGCTATATTGCTAGACTCCCATGTAGCTGACCACGGTTTGAGTCCCGGACCCGGTGGCTTAAACTCACGCCAGGTGCGCGTGCATGCATGCCCAAGTTCCCGAGAGGAGAATGAAGGAGAAGGGAATGCAGTGTGACCATCCCCCCTGGGGGGTGATTTCTCGCTTTCTGTCTCTCTGTCACTCTCTGTCTTTCTGGCAAGCACACAGGTCCTATAGCAAAAACCTCTCAAAAACAAACAAACAAACAAAGAACCTAAATCTTCTGTACTGAGCAACAAACATTCCTGTCTTTTATCTCAGAGGGAGATATTATCTTTAGTAGATTGGATGGTCAGCACATCTGCCATTTGTTCTGAAGGGAGACACTACCCCTATTTCCCAAGGCTAGAAATGAACTTGCACTTTGCTCCAGAGGGAGAAACTTCTTTGTCTTTCAGAGTTGTGGGCTATATAAACATCCTTGAAGACACAGTCCAGAACAAAGAACAGTCAGTGCCTCTATTTGCTGTATGTAAAAAAAAAAGGATGGAGAACTGTCCCTCAACACTTATAACTGATTTAGGCCTGAAAATCTACTCCAAGACCAAAGAGAAAAAGAAAACAGGGCAGACTGAGGAGCTAATGATTCAATAAAAATTGGCTCCTCTGGCCTTGTAGCCTAGGAAGTAGGATCCCACATGGCCAACCATGTGGCTAGAATCCTGGCCCAAGTCTTGAACAACACACAGGTGTATGTAATGCATCCTCCAAATCCTAATAAGATGGAGTAATAAAGGAGAGGAGATTGTGGCATGAACCACCCTATTGGAGGGAGTGCTTTCTCCCTCTCTCTCTCTCTCTTCCTCTCTCTGGTGAGCATACATGCCCTCTGGAAATTTTTCCTAAAAAATTGGCTTTCGGTCTCTGTCTGTCTGGCGAGCGCACGTGCCCTATAGTGATAAAAAAAAAATAAAATAAAATAAAATAAAATAAAAAAAAAATAAAAAAATTGGCTTTCGGGACCAGCAGCTGGACTCCCATGTAGGCAAACCCCGTTTCACGTGTGCGTGCGTGCCCAAGATCCCAAGAGGAGAACGGAGGAGAAGAGATTGCAGCATGCCATACCTCCCGGGGGGTGATTTCTTGCTTTCTGTATCTCTGTCTCTCTCTGTCTTTCTGGCGAATGTATGTGCCCTATAGAAAAACCTCTGAAAAAAAAAAATGGCTTGCGTGACCTCTGTATAGAGGGATTTAAATATAAAGATGTCAATTTATCTTTTTTGTATGTTATATAGCACTAAGAAAATGGTGTCTTTTCCCAAACACTAGAAATACTAAGAAATTATTCATTCCTTATTCATCAAGGAACATTTAATGAATATCTTTACGTGCCAGGAACTGTGTTGGGCTCTGTTCCATTATTCTACTTATCATCTTTTTACTCTGTTGAGGGGAAATTAACTAAATCATTTTCATCTTCTTTTCTTTGTAGCAATTTTTAATTACTTGGTACATTAAATTAAAATAATAAAACTATAAAATTAGAACTGGCCTAGAATATTTTTAAATGTACTACATAAAAGATGATATAATTTTACTGCAAAAAATTATACTTCAATTAGCCTTTAATTCATGCCACTGAAAACAGTATGCAAATTATTTAATCATTCAAGATTAGACATTTAGAACAAATTGCATACTTAAACATCTATAAAAGGTTGGGCATTTCAGGTATTCTCAGGAACCATTATATACCTCTTTAAATTTGTGACAATTTTTTAAAATATATAAGATATATTAGCTAGTCAGGAGCTTCTTCAAAAATTCCATCTATCTTTATTTAATTATAAAAAATCAAATAAGCAAGTCAGGGCTAGTTTTTTTTCAGTAACATTTTGAATAGAAATTATATATTTTTCTAGGTGGGATGGACTGGTCTAACCATTGGACTTTTAAATGATAATAAACACAATCATCATCATAGCCCTAGGATAGACTTTCACTTACCTTTTCTCATTTAATCTTCTATAATCCCAAGAGGCAAGCAATATACAAAATATGAATCTTTTGTTTATGGATAAGAAAACCCAAGTTCAGAGTGATTAAGTGTCATGTTCAAAGTCATGCTCTAACAAATGGCAGAAAAAGATCATGAACTTGGGTTTTCAGATTCTAACTAAACACTATTCCTTTCCATGGTTTGCACAGAATTGTATCACTGGACTGCATCCATGAATTACTTAAGTGAAGGACAGGAGGAAGTGCCACAGGCAAAACAGGAGAGAAATACACAGAAGAGCTGCCAGCCACCAAGAAAAGGACAGAAATAATGAAGCTGACCTTCCAAAACAGGAGCTTCTCTCTGTTCTAAGGGCAAATTTCCTAAGAGGCCCACCTGCTAGCTATAGCAATCTCCCTAGCAGGGTCAGCTCCACTGCATTAGCTGCAGCCCCCTACCCCCACCCTAGGAAGCTGTACATCTCATATTCTTCCTATATTCTGTTCCCATATTCTTCCTTATCTTTGCTTCCTCACTTCTCTCACTAAATGCTTCTCAGAGGAGGCCAGAATAGTTCTTCGTGGTAGCAAAAAGAGTCCTGATTCTTTTTGAAAAAAGAAGGCAGGTCTACCACTAAGTAAGAAAATTTTGGTAGCAAGAAATCCAGGCCAAGCCATGGTGGCAAAGACAGTAGGGAGCAACTGAGTGATGCTGGAGCCATATGGGAAGACCTGGGGTTTGGATACCAGGTCAACCTGAACGTGCCGGGTGTGTCCGTGTATGCCTGTGATCCTGGCTGGAAAGCTAGGGAACAGCCTAGATCATGGAATAGCAAAAGATCATGAACTTGGGTTTTCAGATTCTAACTAAAGGACCCCTCCAACTCCACTTTTCTCTCTCTCTCTCTCTCTTTCTCTCTCTCAATAAATAAACTTAAAAAAATAAAGAAATTCAATATCACAATTCTATATTAATCAAAACCAATATGGGGCATTTAAACTATACATTTACTGGGGCTGGCAGGTGGTGTGGTGGTGCTGAACTCCCACATGGCTGCTTGTGGTTCAACTCCTGGACCTGGTGTCTTGCTTTCTCACTTTCCCTCTCTCTCTCTCTCTCTCTCTCTCTCTAGTCAAATTAAAAATAATAGTACATAAAATTAAATAATTATTTTTGTTAAATTAAAAGTAAAATGTACAGTCGCTCATGAGAGCTTTCAATAACATGAAAGAGGATCCTAGGATCTCTCAACTGCATCCTTTGGGGATTCGCATTTTCTGTTTATTGGGATTTATGTGTTTATAGTCTCCCATAACTGGCATAGATTCCACTAGCAAGTGTTTGTTCTGGAATATCAAAGAAATGCACAAAATGTCATATCTGGCACACACTGAAGAGCAGCTGAAATCATCAAGGTAGAAAAAATAATAAAAATAATACTATAAAATGGAAAAACAGGGCCAGTAGATGGTGCAGTGGTTAAGGCGGCTGAGTCCCACGTGGTCAGCTGTGCAGTTTGCATCTTGGACCCAGTAGCTTGAAAAATATGCCAGGTTGGGGCTGGCGGGTGGTGTGGTGGTTCAGGGCGATGGACTCCCACATGGCCGATGATGGTTCGGGTCCCGGACCTGGCAGCTCCCCCTCTCCCCCCCAAATCCTTCTCTGGTCAAATTAAAATACATAATAAGTAAAGTTAAATAAAATAATTCTTTAAAAAAAACATGCTAGATGCATGTGAGCCCCAAATCCCATTCCCCTGGGAGGTGATTTCTTTTCCTCCCTCTGTCTTTCTCTGTTTGTTTCTCTCTGGCATGCACATGTGCGCTATAGCAAAAAATAAAAATAAAAGAGAGAGAGAGAAAAGAAAA